GCTCGATCTGGGCGAGGCCGCCTCGCCCGGGCGGCGAGGGTCCAGCCCTCGCCCTCGCCTCCGGCCGGGCGGCCGGCGAGGGCCGTGACGCCCTCGCCGGCCCTGGGGTCGTGGCCGGTTGCCGGCCGCCGGCGACCGGCGGCCGGCTCAGCCAGGGAAGAATAAAAATAAGAAAAGAAAAAAAAGAAAAAAAACTGATTCTCAAAATTGTGCCGAGAAACAAGAAGCAACTTTTTTTTACTTCTTGTTTCTCTTCCAAAACTGTTTCTCGGCACAAATTTTTGCAAAAATGTGCCGAGGAACAAAAAGTTTACCAAACGCATTTCTGTTCCCAAACTATTTCTGGAAACAAAAGAACAGAAATTTTTACTATTTGGCACGTTACCAAACGGGCCCTTAGTCTCAAATCATCCCTAGATTTCTGGCCGGCAAGCATGTGTGACTTTCCGCGGCAATGACACGGGCCTTTCTGTTCCAAATCTTCCGAGCAAACATAAAGCAAATGAAAACACAAGACAAAAAAAAATGGCTTGGGGGAAAAAGGGGGAAGATTGTAGAAAGGTAATCATTCTCTTAATTTTGGTCTATGATCTTTTTTTCAGTATCTTTTCTTTGATATCGGATGGCGCAACGACGGCTTCCAATTATCAAACACGAATGATGACTGATCCTCCTGATCCTCCCATTTACCGCATGATGTTTTCGATTCAGTCTTCGTACGTAATGATGCGATGAGTATAGCAAGAAAAGGCATGAGGATGAGCAAGAGGATATCGTTTTTCTCCTATGGGGAAGATTCAACGTTAAGAAAGGGATAGGCGGAAGACAAATGCAAAAAAGATTATCAGACTAATGAAATTACACGAAGTGATTTCTAGATGGAAAAGGAATTCTTTGCCAAAGATCCTTTCTCCTACTAAGTTTAGGATAGGAAGGAATCTAACAAGCAGAGTTAGGGACCGAACACCAACCAAGGGCTGACGTCGGGGAAGGATGCACTAAAGCTTATAGCCACATGGCCTTAAATCGTTCCAATTTATGGTGAACATTGTATTGCCAAGGTGAATTGGGATACACATGGCCACATGATAACTATGGTAAAATTATCAAAAAAAGTCATAAACCTATCATACTTGTGCTAATTTTTTCATAAAACCTTTCAATTTGGCCAATTTAGTTCTAAACATTTTGATATTTTGCCAATTGAGTCATTCTAGCCAATTTTACCTCCAAATCGCCCACGTGGACGCCGGTTGTTTTACACGGTATGAAGCGCAGGAATGACCGGCACTGACGTGGATAATTTTTATAATTTTTATTTTCATTGTGGCCAACAAGGATTGCATGCCACTTGGCAAGGATCTCGCCAGCCCCAAAGGCCTTGCGCGGGCAAGGGCAACGAGACACATGGACACATGCAGAGAGAGATGCCCCAAAAAACTCCATTACCGACCCAAAAAATTTCACCAGACCCGCCATCCCAGTCTCTTGACTAGGAACGATTTTCAACTGCTCGAGAGGTATTTTCCGTCATCGAGCAGTAAAGGACAACGAGAGACATGGATACATGCACACACACAGAGAGATGACTGATGGCGATCCTTCCTTTTATCAAATGATGTACGATTCGGTCTACATACGTAATAATGCGATGGGATACACATGGCCACATGATAACTATTAGATATTTATGAGTGGGACTTAGGCTTTTGTTCGACTTGCGACAGTTACAGGCATGTCTGCTTGTTAAGTCATGATAACAATAGAATATTGGCAATGATTGAGAAATTTTCCATATCAGATCCTGATGACCTATATTCAATGGAGAAAATATCAGGGACTCCTGAATTCAGTTCGTTTTGGATTAAAATGTGATTCTTTACCGCATTCCACACGCATATATGTGACAGGAATTCACGTCGGTGACAGGAGAATGGAAATTTTTAGGAAGGTCCACACAAAATCGATCTATCTATGAAAGTATGATGGGAGGTTTTCATGTAAAATTCGAAAATGAATCGCGGGTTAACAAAGTGTCTAACAAGCACTCATCAAATAATTTCGTGGTGGTCAATTTTGTATTTCATTTTGCAGGATGTTTAGCACTATCTTTTGCTGTGAAAGAACAGCTTAGTGTGCACTGATACTATGAATAACGTGGAGAAACATGGCCGATGACAGTACATTAATGCATGTATTGGAGTATATTTTTGGCTGTGACCTTCAGCGTAAGTCTCATTATTTCTTTAAGCGAGAGAATTCAAATGCCGCCAAAAAAAAAATTTTGAGTACCATCACGGGTCCTAATTATTATTGTTGGAATATACATGCACTTCATCTACAATACAACTATACAGGTACAAATAAGTATTATTATTATAATTTCCTTGCCAAACATATGCCCAGAAAGAACATTTGCATTGAAATAATACTTTCGCAAAAACCCGAAAAAAGAACTATAAAATTTGAGAATGCATAATTGATCCTTTTTGCCCATAAACTTTCTAGTAAGAGCTGGTCATGGAAACACAAATTTTATTTCTATCAAATGGTTGGATATACACTTTTTAGTAATGTTTTTTTTTTCCTTTTCTGTTATCTTGAAAGAATATTTTTAATACATAGAATGCCAAAAAAAAAAAAACGTAATGCGGCAAATGAAGAATTGACATATGCAAGATGTAATAATTACCTATTTTTAGAACAAAATCCAATGCTTTCTTATGTCGTGAGCTTTAAGCTTAGAGGCATCAAACGTATAAACAAATTTGAACAAACTATTCGCATACATTGAGTATATACCCCCGTACAGCTCATATATCATGGAATGTATATATGAATGAATACTTTAAACTATCCTTAGTTACCTGAATTAAATTGATAGCTGACATGATTTTTGAGATCTACCCACTCCATTAAATTCAGTTTGGGGTAGAACATGTATTTTTTTAACTTCGTTGGAAATTAAGAAAAATGTCCAAATAATAAGAAAGCTTAATATATGTGCCAAAATATTATTTTATTACAACTAAAATAAATTCAAGTTTGTTGATTGACCCGATTATTTTTTTTTTTTTAACAAGTGCATTAAAAGTCCTAAACTTGTCACAAAAGTGCGATTAAGTCTTAAAAATTTTAAAAAGTGTCATTAAATCTTAAAATTTGTCAAGTTAGTGCAATCAAATCCTCTTGTTAATTCCGTCCAATTAAAAATACTGACGTGATTTTTTATTATTTTCTCTTTCCCACGTGGCATTAACATTAATAAAGCAAGAAATATAATATTAAAATGTCGTTTTGGTCCAAATCTCAATTTTTTTAACATAAACATTAGTTTAGCTAGATTAAAATAAACTAAAAATTAAAAAAAAAACATACAAAAAAGAGAAAAGAAAACCCACAGGTGGGTGATTCAAGTCCTCCACTTGTGGGCTATCGCTTAATCGCTAGCAACGGCTGCCGAGGGCTCGATGAGGGCCAGCGACCCTCATCAGATCCGAGAGAGGGCCGTGAACCTCTCTTAAATCTGGATGACGGCTGCCGGGCATGGCCGATGCCCCCCCCCCCATCAACCCTTTCTAGTGGAGCGGCGGCTGTGTAGGTTTTTTTTTTTAGTGTTTTTGTTAAAACTTTAGCCTTTTTTATTTTTTTAATCTCATTTAACTAGGATTTATATATGAAGATGTAAAATTTAATTAGACCAAAAAACCAACCTCATAAGAGAGAAAATAACGTTAACGCCAAGCAGTAGAGAGAAAATGATAAAATAAAAAAGAAGTAACGAACAGAATTAACGGGAACACCTGATCACACTATTTTCACAAATTTAAAAAAAAAACTCGACCACGCTTTTCTGAAAGTTTTCAGATTCGAAGGCGCTTTTGCGGGACAAATTTTTAGGGCTTCTAGTGTACACGTTTGTTCTGTTTTTGTCTCCTGAAAGAGACAGAAAAGATACTTCCTTTCTTGTTTCTGTTCACGATGCTGATGGACATCGGGGCCCCCCACGCGGGGTGCCGTTGGAGACGGTATTTTAGTTTTGATCGTGATGTGCACCTCCTCCTCCCGACTCGCGACCGTTGAAACAGGGACGTAACAGATGGGACGGCTATCGATCCCTTGGATTTATTTACCAAAACCAGTATAAATATTACTTCGCAGTAAAAATTGAAAAGGATTAATACCGCGAGGAACTCTAAATTGATATATATATGATAAATTTATTCCGAATTCATTTTTTTATCACGAAAAACCCCCAGACTGATACACCTAAGATAAATTTATCCAAAGTTAATTTTTTGATCATCAAAAATTCCAAACTGGTACATTTGCGAAAAATTTACTCTCCGTTAAATTAGATTAATACAAAAAAAAAACCCACAAACTAATGCAACTGTGATAAACGGAGTGTAAAACCCCAAGCTAATACACCAGTCAACTGCCACGTAACATCGAATTCATAAATTTGACAATAAAATTTAACAGAAACTAACATAAGGTAAATTTGTCACATATGTACCAATTTGAAATTTTTAATGATAAAAAAATATTAATTTGGGATAAATTTGTCGCAGATATAACAGTTTGAGGTTTTTTGTGGTACTACCCCAACTAAAAAAGGGAGTCTAGTATGACGAGACACATCGGTCGGATCGAGGCTCTCTAATTTCTGGTTTCTACTACTTTTCGTAACCCTAAGGGTTATTTAGCATCTCCTGAAACTTGCATAATTATTGGCACGTAAAAGGTGATTTCGAGTAATGTGAAATTCCTAAAGATATTTCAAAGTTCAGTGATTCCTAAATTTCAACCCCCAAAAAAAATTAAAAAATTAAAAATCATAAGCGAAGCTACGATCCACGCTTGCGGTTCAGGTCAGATGAAGGTTGTTTCGGGTCATAAACGCATACCCAAAAGTTTCACCCGAATCGAACCGTTGATACCCCTACGTGCAACCATCATCTACAAAGTAATAAAATTTCTTCGGTTGGGACTTCAAATTAATCACTCGAAAATCACGGATGTACACATTTAAAAGAACTACCGATGTCCTAGATTTAGAACAATGTGCAGCCAAAGCCCAGGAATCGCCCAACAAACATGTCTCACGGTCGAGGTCACGAGTTAATTAGACGCTTGCCACACCCTTCGTGCGGGCATTTTCGCACTTTGCCAGCTGGACTCAAGCTGACGAAGTATATACCCAACCCTCCCACAGCAGAATGCAAAGTCTCCAAGGCATCAAATATCTGCCTAATTCTTAACCGGCGAAAAATATTGTCCGAGCTGGTAAGCCATGGTCATTTGCCATCGGTAAAGAACCCCAGGGCCAGCCCTGCTTATATTGCCGCTAGAAACCTATCCTGATGGAATTTTGTACAGCTAGGTCGGTGACCGGTCGTCGGGTGAGAGTCACAACTCTTGATCTACTTCCTGTGCCAGAGAAGAGCTCACAGTTAGTTGGTACACAAACAGAAAAATGTAAGTCCAATTGCTCTCTTGTTCTGGCTTAAGGCCCAAATTCGGGTATATGAGTTAGCATAATCAACCAAGCTTACAGTACAAGGCAAATCACACCAACACATGTTTTGCTCGTAAGGAAATAAAAGTGAAATGACCTTCTTTTCATATCTCGGCAATGTGAACTTTTGCAGCAGCATTTGAAGGCCTTCACAGGATGATCTTCATCATCAAAATCAATACCATAATCCTGCAATCATGCATAGCATAACCATAGTTGATACAGGAACACACTTTAATTCTGGTCGAAGCAAAAATTGGTGAAAAATGGTCAGTGAAATGAGACAAATAAGGCGTCCCCGGTTTTTGCATGATTCTACAAGTTTATCTCAAACCATAGCTTCCCGGTGATAGGGAAATAAATCATATAACAGAAAGCACTGTGCTCAGGCCATAGCGAGCACTGATTGGAAAGATTGGCGTTAAAATGGAAACCAGTAATCATTTATTAGTCCATAAGGTGAAAAATGCTTTTCATCAGCAAGGGAGGACCAACGATGTCCAAAGAGCTCACTATAAGTGACAGAGGAACAAATAAGAGTCCGAACTAGGAGAGAGATTTGGTTTTTTCATAAACTACTTTATAGATAGTTTGTCAATACTCCTTACCCAATTCAACTCTTCAAAAGCACCAACTGTTCGGGTAGTGAAAAACGCAAGCTGCAAAAAAGAAAGTCTATCAACAATTACGAGCCTCTTCATTCTAAAGAACATAATAAATATCCGATAACATTACACCAGAAATCCTGCTTCTGCAATAACATAAACAAAGTCAAACCCAGTGATTCTCATACATGATAATAGTGTCGATCAGGTGTCTCTACTTCAACCGGGATATCAATCAAGTTTGCATCAAAACATCTGCAAAAATATGGAGAAAACAAGGACGTCACAAACGGATGACACATAAGTAGGTATCAAGTAACGTATGCCATGAATATATTTTGCAGAGCTTACTCAAATCTTCAGCTTAGAACTCAGAACAAGATATATACTATGGGTACTAAAAGTCCCAACTGACAAAATTGTCTTAGACAAGAGATATAAAAGAAGGCATATGCTAAAGAGAAATACGCGATAACAGTCAGATTCTGTGGATTTTTAAAAGTATCGGCGTGCTAATGGATAATAACATAATAACATCATAATGGACCTATGTTAAAAGAAAATAGAATTGGCAATTAATGTTTTCTACAGGATATTGAGAAAGGGAGCCGTTTAGTGATTGCTTTACCAGTAAATGTGATCATATTTTACAATGATAATAAGAGTTAATTTGTCATTATGGATCAAAACATTCTTCCACTCCCAAAAGTTCAAATACGGTTTGCTGCAAAAGGTACTTCCAAACTCCCGTTAGGCTTCTCTAAAGCACAAGAAGTACTCAGTCCTATTCTACCACTCCAGTGACCATGGGTGATTTTCTTCTTATGTGTAGTAATGTAACTCCCTCTTTTTAAAGGCAGCATATTAATTACCCAGTGGAATAGAAAGAGGAACAAGAAGAAACAATATCAAACAAGGAAGAAAGCCTAGGTACAAAAACCAACAAATTGGCTCCATGGTGCAAAGGCCTAATCAAAGACAATCATCAAAGACATACCTGTGATTAATGAACCTGGCAACATTGCCATGATACGTCGCATCCAAACACAGAGCCTCTTCATCCTGCAAGTGTCCTTCTGATCCCCAATCTGCATCAAGCATTACTGGGTATGTATGTCTCTCATGAACATTTTTTTGCATATTACGATCATATAGCTCTGTATTTGTCACTATTTCCCCCACATATTCACAAACAAATGTTCCCTTAGGCAATTCCTCAAGTGTTCTGACACCCCAGCCTTTTCCTTCTTCAGTTAAGAAAACCTGAGGATAGAGGAAAAGCATATAGATAAAAGAAGCAACATAATTTAAATCTTCAAACTAGATTATCATGAGGAGGGAGAGAACAGTAGGCCTAGATGAGTCGAGTATTTTCGAGAAGTTACAGACATTATAAGATACGTACTTCTATATTATGATTGTTCACCCAAATCATGTCACGAGCATTGACCAATTCAGATCTTGAAGTAATTTAACACATGTGACGTATGTATTAAAATTCTTCAAACGAAAGATGTTAACTTATACAATTGACCAACTGACTTAATCCCCTGAACCATGAACATTGGATGGAACAGTCAACTGCTGATATCTTGTGTATCTGGAAATAGCCAACTGACCAACTTTTTACACCAAAAGAGAATGCTCAACCATAATTTTGCGTTCTTTATAACACAGGCACATTTACCATGAAACAGATAATAATTTACCGTAGTTGTGTAACTTTTTTTTCTAAAATAGTCATTCATTTACAGAGAAATGAGATATTTTACCATAATTCTAATTTCCTTTACCACAGTTAAGACGCATAACCACAAAATAAGACTTTCTACCACGATGCGTGACTAATATGGTAAACAAGGGATATATATGCATCTTAATACGGCAAACCTAGCCAACAGTGGAGTAAAATATATATCACCTTGCACAAATAATAATAGAGTGCACAAAAGTTTGAACATGATGGCCAAAGATCAATTATGAATGCTCTAGCAATCAGTTCGGAACAATTTGCTACTAAAAAGATGCTCGCACCAAATGATTTAAAGAAGATACTCACTTGCAACTTACACGTTATTCCTCTCTGTACTATTCTATTTCCACAGTGCATATCACATCCACATTTTCTCCAGCATTCTTTAATGAACTTGCGAATCAGATGGCCCTTGCATTTTTCAGGTCTTGACTCATTCCTAGACCTCTCTATTGGGCAGTCTTGACAGTAAACAAAATCCTTCTCTTGGGGATTCACTTTTGTCGATTTACAAGATTCTAGAAACTCTTCCTTGAGCTGACCTACTGGTGTGTAGGCAAACTCCCCACCAGTTTCACGGGCACAAGCACATGGCAGTCTTGAGGAGAGACAGTCACCCATACAACTTGAACAGCAGTCCTCATCCGCAATACGAGCCAGTGAAAATTGCACATGAGCACTTTGGTAAATTATGTTATGTGGTATGTAATTAAAGGCAGGAAGTTGCTCGTTGCTAGGATCATCTGCCAGAGAAATTTTCACTTTTTCAGCACCTTTTGTTATGTCAGTGAAGTCACTGAAACGGCCTTTTCTGACCAAACTGCAATGACGGCGACGAACATTGGCGGGACCGCTTGAACTTGAACTAGCAATTGGGTTTAAAACTTCTGAGTCCTTTCCTGAATAGCTTAGAACCTTTGTGTTTGGACCAGTAATCCCATTGGAGTTTGAGATATTTCTTATGATGCCAGGAGACGATTTAACTTCTGAGTCCAATGGAGAATGTTGCTCTGAGCATGCCATGCCAAACCAAATAAATCAGAATGGAAAGGAGTAAATAATTCTTGCAGAATGAAAACTATAACCTCTTGAGGCCTACCGGAACTGTTTCCTACAGAACATCAAGCTAGCCTGAATTACAAACTTGCCAGATACCAAATTTTCTACCCAGCAGAATGAGAAGAATGTGGTGTGCAACTAGTTAAAATAGTATTCTCCTAATCAACGCATCATGCTCAATATTTGAATTTGCTTCTCTAAAAAAGAAGCAGAGATCAGGCATGTAGACCAACTTAATTATGGTTTTCACCCGAGCAAAAAAGAACGATTACCATTGTCTCGATATCTGCTAAAAATGCCATATAAATCTATTACAATCCTCAGTAATGAATGAACAGCTTGCTTCTCTTTTAGAAAAAGGAGGGCAAGGATTTCCACACAGTATGCATTCCAAAGATAAAAAAGTAAAATAAAAAAGATATAAGTGCACCGGAAGTCCTAAAACTTGCCACGAAAGTGCAATTGAGTCCTAAAAATTTCAAAAAGTGCAATCAAGTCCTAAAACTTGTCACAAAAGTGCAATTAAGTCGTAAAACTTTCAAAAAGTACAATCAAGTCCTAAAACTTGTCATGAAAGTGCAATTGAGTCCTAAAACTTTCTAAAAGTGCAATCAACGGAAGGACTTGATTGGACCAATTTGACAGGTTTTAGCGCTTAATTGCACTTTTGGAAAGTTTTAGGACTCAATTGCACTTCCGTGAAAAGTTTTAGGACATCCTATACACACGGGGGACTTCAGTTCTCAACTTGGACATCTGTATGAGTGTTCACACTATCAAAGAAACTCTTCCAGATGAACAACAAGAAGATCATAAACTACAACAGTGGCTCTCGACTATCATTCACCCAAATATACATATCAAAGGCATAATCAACCTCCTCGCTAAAGAATATGCTGTAAGCCCGAGTGCCAAACCTGATGGCAGATTGCAAATAACAAACTACACATACCTGAATGGCCGAGTCGGGTAGGCTCAATCAAAGGAGACAATGTTGCGACAGAACATGCATTTGACCTACTAAGCTCTTTCTTACGAATTTTACCATGCAGACCTTCCACCGAAATCTGACCTAGTCCAACCTCCCCTGTTGAGTTATCACTTAAAGTTGGAGAGGATGCTTTCCTAGAAGCCATCACGTCACTTTTCATCAAAGGATGAGAAGAACTTGTCTGCTTCAATGAGTTACTGTGCTGCACGTGAAGCAGTCGGGAATTATGGTGGGTTCCATCTCTCAAACTTTGTTGTGGTGACTCCACAAATCCGTTGGAAGTTGATAGTTCATGATCTTCTGAAGCTACATTTTTCATACTAACAAAAACTTGGTTTTCCTGCTGTTCCAAGTGCAGCCTCTTAGATGGTCTTTCACAACCATCTTGCCCTGCAGTACTCCCATTTCCATCACCTATATTCTGTATGGAAATAAGAGAGAAATATTAATGAGCAAAAGTGAACACCACCAATAATAAATAAAAAGTGTACATCGAGCAGGAGATGACAGAAGTGGAACAAAATGATCATGCATCTAAAACTAAGCAGTTACAATTACTTTCAAGTTTCTGAGATACCCTGTTAGGATACTTCATGAAACAAAAATAGGACTAAGATGAGCCAATAATGTTAATACAAAGTGATGTTAGCCAATAATGTTAATACAAAGTGATGTTAGATGGAAGAACAAGTGTGGTGACCTTATTTTCTTTGGACTCATAATATGTATCTATGAGTGTCCGGAAATTCTCTCCTTCTATTAGTTCCCATTTTTTGTTGTAAACTCTTAAAAGCTGCTTCAAAATTGGCTTCACCTCCTCATCAGGAATGCCCAAAGCCCTCGTGGCTGCAAATGCCTGGCGCACCTTAACATCCGGAGCCATCAATTGATCTAGAAAACCTACTTCTGATGATTATATCTTCTGATTTAGTACAATTTCACCTGAATTTAGAATGTCTATTAGATCAAAGTCAGAAAGGAAAGAACAGTTAATTAATAGGCAATTCATTACTCAGATGATTGAAAGGAGAAAAATAATAATCACCAACAATAAATTTTATAGAGAGAAGTTAGTGCAATTGATAAGGCTCCACAAAGGTACCAGCGAGATCATAACACATTACACACAAGGGATTCACATTAGAGGTGACCACGCGTAGTGGCAACCAAGTCAAACTTCAATACATGAATTGCCATAAAATTGTTTATCATATAATAAACTGAGTCTCCTTATTCTTCAGATCCTAAATATTACCTTTTGCCTAAGTGAAGTAACAGTGGCCATGGTTATTTTAGACTTAAACTAGTAAGCATGGAAGGACCATATATCAGAAACATTAACTCTACATGAACAACCACAACGACCTTCATCAAAGAATGAGGATGTAAAAGGCCTTAGTTTGGCCAGATAAAGTTCGCTCGTAGAGATCATCGCTGCCATAATTTTCAGCATCAAAGAGTTTGACTTTATGTTAAGAGTGTTGAAGCCTCTCCTGGCATACAGTTAAATTGCTATTGACTTCCACAACGATCAGTTAAAAAAATTTCATCATCAAACACAAACTTAGCAACTGGCAAGGGAACTCCACTTATCTATCACCAGAAGTAGTCCTTAAAATGCTAATGTCACATTTGGCAGCTCAAAGTTCTACTAGGATATAAATTCTTCCCTCAGTCGTTAAATGTTTCGCTTTCCATGCAAGTAATAAACTATTTGACTTTGCTTTGAGATCTAACCAGAAGACTAAGTGGTCTTTCCCATCATCGCTAGGCTAAAGACATGAGAAATACCAGTTTTGTAGTTTCGCTTCCACAAGATGTCCAATCATAAGGTAAAGAAAGTAATAAAATGGTTCGCAACACAGGAAAGAAAAACTTCCATTCCACATGCTGAACATCAATCTTGCATTCTCTTCACACAATTCAATCAAATGGCAGCCCCTTCACTAACTGAACACCGAATTTTGGCTGTAAACATCCTTGAAACAAATAAGAACCAATCACAAAAAGCTTTAACCTCACAACTCTCAAGGTACTCAGCGAACCGCTAAGCACTTTCCAAATATCTGATAAAGAAGTCTTCATGTAGCATTTCTATTGCAGTAACATGAAAGAAAACCAGGGAAGAATTCACTCTTCAAGCACAAAAATTTCAGCTTCTTCTATTCTGTGTTTATTCAATATGAAGAATGTAGCAACCGTATAACCCTCCAGAAAGAAGTTGAAGAAAATAGATCCCATTTCATTTGCCAATTTTCCCTATATTTCAAGGAAGTAAAGTCCAGGTCTTGTCATCTGAAGCTATAGTACTAAGGCAATTGCTTTCCATGTAAAGAACCATGAAGACAAGTCTCCAAACATTCCAAAATATAACCAGAGATTACGTCAGATCTACACCATAGAATAGGAAAATCAAAGCCTTAGCCAGTACTGAGCCTTGTACAATCATTTAGAACTGGATTAACCAAAAATGATGTTATAATTTTCTTGACCCAAAACGCAATTGCACAAAATTTCACCTCCACCATCAAGTTTTTTTTTTTTTGGGGGTCAAAACCATCAAGCTTTTTAGGTAGCCAGAAAAAACAAGATTTTTAGCGTATTTGCAAAGTTTTTAGCTTAACTATGATACAAAAATTGACTCAAATTTAATTGAGAGTTGCCCTCTTCCTTACAGACAGATTTTGACTATTTTTACTTTTCTAGATCTATACATTTATCCCAAATATCTTTTCTGCTCTTTTCATCTTATCATCACCATGCCATAGATAGAATCCTACGAAAGAGAACTGATTGCCACATAAATGGAACCTCCGTGACTCTTTATACAAATCTCTGCTCATACAGCCAAGAGAAGCACAAAAATACGAAGCAAATCCAACTACAAGCTGCCTTCTGGATCCCCATGATGAGATTCCCGCTCTTCCTCCAGAACCACCATCCTTTCAACCAGTCCAATCACCAGCAAGCATTATGAAGGAACCAAGTTCTCTCACGTCACCACACCGACTCGCTTCAACCAACTTCCAAGCACGCCAATATCGCACTCCCCTCAGAACGCGTATCACCATCATCTCAAAACACGTGATCTCCTCCGGCACACCCATCAAGTCTCGTCTTTTTTTTTCTTTTTTTTGTGGTGGGCAATCAAGCAACAGCATAGCAAAAGACCAAGCTTTCTCCGACAGCAATCGGACAAATCAAAAGCAGAAACAAAAAAAAAATCCACATCACCGCAACCAGCAAAAAACACAGAGCACGAACAAAAATCCAACCACTGCCCCCCGGGAGGGACAGAGGCAGAGCTCGACCGCATTGACGCGCACGCTCCCACATACCGACCTGTCGACAGCCTCGGGGCGCGCGCGCGTAACGCGAGGCGAAGCCAGTCCGGTCCCCCTCCAGAACGAAAGAAAGAAGAAGACAACGCTGCCGATCACGCCATGCAGAGCGCGCTTCACCGGTCAGAGAGCCTCCCCCCCCCCCCGCGGCGGAACCCGACCGCCGGAGGACCCAGCCACCGCCGCGATCGCCGCCCGGGCATGCAGCGGGCGGAGCCCCCCAACTCCGAAGGGGCGCGGGAATTCGATTCGACGGGGGGGGCGGGGGGGCCACCGTTCGCACGCGACGAGGGTTTTGGGCTTCGTCCGCAGCAGAGGAATTTGCAGAGACTCGATGAAGTAAGAGAGAGAGAGAGAGAGGGGTTGGCGCATGGAAAGCGCGTGGATTTGTTCGGGAGACGGAACTCGGGTGCGGCCGAGCTGCACCGGACGGCTCTTCCTGATTGGCCGCGCGCGAGGCGGGATGCCGCGTGGCGTCCGGCTTCGGACACGCGTCGCGGCGCGGGAGGCGGACGAAGGTTGCTTCCGGTGGACCCGAGCGCAGGAGAGCGACACCCCCGCCCCCCCCGCGGACCGGGCCGAGGTATATATTGATTACCTTAGCATTAAGTCTCCCGTGTTTTTTCTAAAGGGGAAGGTGGGATTTCGTGGGGCCCCCCCCGCCGGTCGACATTACATGATTTATCCATGCAAAGCTTGCGCAGTAAGACATTGGAAATATTTTAAAGGGCCAAACTATTATTTTAACTTCTGACCCAAGAGAAAATTATTATTATTTAATTAATTTGTTTGAATTTGGATGACCGTCTGAGGTTCGTTATCATATTCGTTGAGTGACATTTTCGTGCGCCGCCGATCGGATCAGTAATCGTTTAGATAATACTTTTTCCATGCGAGCATGTTGAGATGAATTTTTTTGATATTTCCTTTGTAAATCGTGGGTTAAGGCTCCGTTTGTTTGGCGAAAAATATTTTCCTCATCTTCCGGTGTTTCGTTCGCTCAGGAAAATGAGCCAACGGGCAAATGTTTTCCTAGTCAACGAAAATCTATGCTTAAATTCAAGTAAATGATTTCTTCTTTGAAAAGGCCGGAAAATATTTTCTAAAATATGACTAGGTATCGGTACTTTGACTCGAAATTTTATGCTTTCACATGCAAACCCCAATACTAGTTCTCGAGTCCCTAGCGTTCAAGACTAGGTCTCCAGCACCCGAGCTCGAGTCCATCGAGGCCGAGCCTGGGACCCTGGTGCCCCAACCCGATGTCCTAACGACCACGCCCGGGTCCATCGAGACTAGGCCCGAAGCTTGGTACCCATGTCCGATGTCCCAGCACCCGAGCCTAGCTTGATAAATGTCGAGCATGGGTCCTCAATGCTCAAGCTCTGATCCACGGCACTCAGGCCCGAGCTCACAAAGGCTTAGCATGGGTCCTCAGCGCTCAGGCTCGAATCCTTAGTTAATAAAACATCCATTCTTATAAATATATTTTTTTAGAATTTTCAACTATTTTCTTTTTTCTTTTCTCTTTTTTTCTTTTCCTTCTTCTTCGCGCGACTGGCCCCTAGCAAGGGAAGAGCCTTGCTAGATCGGCGAGCTCAAGGCCTCGCCAAAAGTCAGTGAGGTCGAGCTCGCTAATTTGGCAAGGCTCGTCCCTCGCCCGGGGCCGGTCATTGGCCATTGCCGTGGTCAGCGACCAGCCGAAGAAGAAGGAAAAGAAAAAGAAATAAAAAATTATTAAAATGAGTGGATAGAGGAAAATCAAAGATTTTCCATACCAAACAGTGAAAAATGTTTTCCAGTTTATTTTCAAGTTTCAGCAAAATGTCGAAAATATAGTCATTTTCCTGAAAAATGACTTCTTGAAACACATTAAAATGTCACATTTTCTGCAAAACAAACGGAGCTTAAATTGTAATTTAAAGGTTAACCAAGTAATCAAAAGGTAATTTCTAATATCTCGCACTCTTCAAGAATTAAATTTTTCCATCTATATGAATACTCCGAGTGCTTTCTTCATACGTAACGAATGTGTTCTTTTACTAATTTTAGCATGTCGCGCCCGCTAGAACGATTTGAATGGTCAATTCCCTAGTTATTATTGGCAAAATACACACTAAGTTCCACAAATTACCATCATCTTATAATTATATGATTTGTTAGAGATATATTTAAGAGATTCTCTATATTTCTTCCAGATTATTTATATCTGTTAGGATTGTACATGTATCTCCCTTGATTGTGCATATATTAATTCTAATTGATTGTCTTATTACTTTAGATAGTTATCTAGTAAAGTCGATTCATTTACTCTTTATCAAAATATACAAAAATTACATAATTCTCCCTTCCCATATTCTTATCTCGGTATAGAGGTAGAGATCCTTCGGAATATTTGAGTGTGTTGCACACCCGGAGCACACCTGAAGCTCACTTTGCATTTTGTGTAATTCTCTTCTCCAATTCCTCAACATTGTTTGTTGCATAAAATGGTGACATGTACGAGCATTTCCTTCGGTCTTTCCAAGCATATTGACAATTATGACTTTACGAAGTTGTTCACCTTCATGGTCCTCCAAGTTTTACGGAACATCCTTGTTAAAGACTTGCTCATCATCACCAAGTCCGTCCAATTGTTCATCAAATTTTGTTACCTCCAAGTCATCACAAGCATCTCTATTTTACCCTCGATCAAAATCCTTCGAGATGTTTACCTTATCTCAAAATCCTTCCTGCTTATAGACATCTCAACACCGAATATATTATTCACCCCTAATATCGACAAGTCACTCTTACAATGACAGAGCCCTCCTTATATCAGCTCATCAGGTTAAGACAATATCCACATAACAGCTTGTATATATATCACCTGATGCCACTCAATCAAAACACGCATTAGTAGCATTTAATTATTTTGTCATCTTCAAAACATCATGAGAGATTTTCCCATCAAGAGGAAGCGAAGAGGGAGAAATGGAGCAACTTTCGTTCTTTAAAGAACGAAGAAAAAGAAAAGATGCAGCGAAGAGTGAGAAACGGCGTGTCACTAACAAAGCTTGCATTGTTAGTAATGGAGGGGGAAAGAGAGAGTAACGGAGAGAAAGAAGAGAAGAAATTTTAAAAAGTCGAAAAATTGGGACTCACATGAGACACGTGGCGATCGCTAAATGGAGTGGGTTTATGGCTGATGTGGATCACCAGAACTACCTGCTATTTTCTCGGCTCACCCATCCCAATCCCGAAAGAGTTAAAAGGACAAAATTACCTAATTGTGGGTCCTATGGGGCCACACTGACTTTATGTTCTTCATCTTCCTAACATCTCTCTATTTCCAACTCCTATCACTCTCTTCCTCCAAGCAAAAGATCATTCCCATGGAAATCCACTTCGCAGCCTTAGTCTCCTATCTTTCCATTCAAGTCATCTCCCCAGACTAATTCGAGTCTTGATGTTCAAGAGGTCCAAGTCCAAATCTGTGGCTACCTATAACATTAGAGCAGAAAAAAAAAATGATAAAAAAAACATAGCATGCAATGACGCCTTCTTCACCGTCAAATCTAATGAAGTCAACCAGTTTATCCGGCTCAGACCCAAAAAAAAAACTATTTGTTCCAACGACCGATAACGCTTCGAAGAAGCACAACAACAAGAAATAAAGCCCAAGTCCTTCACGTGGTAAGATTGTTGAGACCTTCTTTTTACAACGATTTTAGTTCGAAACTGGTGAAGCATCTCTACATAGACATCTCCAAGAGGTATAGAGACACTGTGAAGTTCCCCTCAATCTAGTTGCCGCTGGCATCACCGGCATCGTCTCGTTGGGCTCTTCTTCATTGAGGATGTGGAAGGGGTTTCGAGTGAGGCTGAAGCACCCAACTCAGTAACTTTGGCGACGACAATTCTTCTCTGCAGATAACATGATACTACCACCATGGAAAGCGTCAGGGTCATGACGGCTGCATGGTGAGACCGTGACGGTCGCGATGATCCTAAATTGGTTGGGTTCATGTAATTACACAATTAAGAGAGAGAGAGAGAGAGAGAGAGAGAGAGAGAGAGAGAGGTTATTGAGGATGACAAGTGGCGGTGTTCGCTAGCTGTATTGGCCGCGAGAGATGGTGGCTAAGAGCGATGTAGCAATGGTAGGACGTCAAGGCTAGCTCAAATAATAAAAAGAGGAGAAAAGACTGAGAATTGACCGGAGATGAGAGCAGTGGCAGATAGAGACAAAGGCTGCATTTGGTTCGATTTTGAGGAAAGTTTTAGGGGAAATGCAAATGACTTTAAATTAAAAGGATTTTTCGAAATATAAATAATATTTGACACTAGTGCATTGGGAAGTAATTTTGATTTAAATAATGTGGGGAAAAAATCACACTTTTAAAGGATTTTTACTTTTCTTTTAAAATAAATCTCAAACCCTTCGTTAGACGTTAGCGAAGGGCTCAGGCCGCCATTGCTTGAGGTCGCACGATCTCAAGCGACCCCAGCGATCTTCGCGCGACCCGTCGCATGACCTCAAACGAGGCTCACCGGCAACGTCGCACGGGGTGAAAAAGTTGAGGACATTTTTGGAATTTTGAAAGTTTAGTGATGGTAAAGTTGGAAGGAAAAAAATACATTAGCAATCCGGAAATGTTCAAAGCCCAAAACTGGGTAGAACTTTCATTAGGCTAAGGACCTTCCGAGGACTTTAGAAATACAATGCATCTCCAAAAATCCCTCCAAAAAATTTTGACAATTGTTGTTGATTTGATTGGAATTTCTGATGGGCTTGAGCGTCCTAGGCATTTTGATGTGAAGTGTGCAGGAGTCATGGTGGTTTCGGGAGCGCTTGGCCATTTTGTGTATCGTAGAGAGCTCTTACCAAGATTGGTGGAGGGGTCATGGAATCGGAGGAATACTGGAAAAGCTTGACATGATGAATTCTGCAAAACTTGAACAAAATGAAAACTGCAAAGCCTGAAGAAAAGAAATCTGGATGATGCAGATTTCCAAGCATTTCAAGAAGAGGAAGAAGAGAGATCCCATAGCCCACGTGAAGCTCTCCAATCATTTGAAGGCCTGAGATTATTTTTTTTTAGGGAAAAAGCTACCAAAAACCCCAAACTTTACCGCCCGTGACACATTTACCTTAAATTTTTTTTATGACACCAAAAACCCCAAACTATACTATTGGTGACACATTTACCCCAATGTATTTTAGTCTATGGACATTTTCGTCTTTTTTGCTTTTTCTTTTTTTTTTCCTTTTTTTTTCCTTTCCCGCGAGGGGGGCCCTCGCCAGCGTCAGGCGAGGGTCGCCTCGCCGGCATCGGGCGAGGGTCGCCTCGCCTGGGCGAGCGAGGGCAACCCTCACCCGACTCAAGCGAGGGGGGCCCTCGCCGGCGTCGAGAGAGGGTGGCCCTCGCCGGCGTCGAGCGAGGGTGGCCCTCGCCAGATCCGACGAGGGCCGCCCTCGCCTGAGTTTGGTGAGGGCCGCCCTCGCTCGCCCAGGCGAGGGCGGCCCTCGCCCGACGCCGGCGAGGGCCCCCCTCGCCGGAAAGGAAAAAAAAAAAAAAAGCAAAAAAGACGAAAATGCCCATGGACTAAAGTACATCGGGATAAATGTGTCACAAATAGCATAATTTGGGGTTTTTGGTGTCACAAAAAAAAGTTCAAGGTAAATGTGTCACGTGTGGTAAAGTTTTGGGTTTTTGGTGACTTTTTCCCTTTTTTTTTAAAGTATAAACAAGCCATGTAGGCATTATTCAAAAAAGCCACATGAGATATATTGCTGGAATATTATTGAAATTTATCGATAGAGGTGCTTAAACGATCGTTTTACTTCGATGTGGCAATAAAATGATCTGGCGAAAAAATTTTAGTATTAAAATGGGTGCCGTATAAAAGTTATAATATTTCTAGAATCTTTTTCGCGATACTTACTTATCCAAGTTGACTTCCGTCGTCATCAAGAGAAAAAGAAATGTTACTACAAAAGATGAAAAAGGCATGGATCAAATTTTAATGACAACACACTTTAATATGAACAGTCACATTCATGAATAGTGAAATCCGCCCTTCCTAACAAGTTGACCCTCATAAAGAAAGAAAGAGACGTATCAGTCATATCCAAAGCCAAATAAATCGATATTAGTCCCCAAGAGTCATATCTACTCCATCTGCATCAATGTCTCTGTCTCCCTCTCCTTTTCAGCCTGAGTGAGACTAGAGAGTAGCAAAAGGCCCATTCGTCTACCAGAAGAAATAGGCTGCGTGTAGCTTGGAAGACTCCGAGTTCTTCTCAACAATCTGCAGCAAAAATCGTGTTGGTGCACTTGTTAAACAAGAAGTTCGATTCGATGTCATGAGAAAGCTAGCATGTTTGAGCGACCAAAACGAGGGCATTTTGTGTATCGAATACGAAAAAAAGATTGCTTGCGTAAAACTTTCTTTAGACGAGCGATGTATGCGCGCTCACCTTCGTCTTTCCTGCCGCACGACCTGAGAAGCATCAAAAAGAGAAAGCCTAGCACCAAGGCTCCAGCTCCTCCCAGCACGATCGCTATCTGTTTTCCTGTTTCTTCATCTCCGCGCCCTCCTGTTTCAACACAAACCTTGCGTGAATTGCAACCATCCAAGGCACGTTTTCTTTAGGAATAAGAAATAGTAAAATCTGGTCACTATAAAGGATGAGAAAATATAAGTAGCAGGTTACAAGATTGTGTGTTTTTATTCATTCTCGGTACCTCGAGAATCTAACTTTGTATAGGTCGCCTATGAGATATTGCATGCATGTCGTATATCTTGTAATAATGTGGTGTAACTGGCCAATCTATAATCGGACCTATTTCAATTATCACTGATTTCGCTACAAGTGATCTAGTCCTTGGACACAGATAAGTTTGACAATTTACCTGGATACAAATTACCGCCGTTGCCTCCGACTCCGCCTATGCCTCCCCCTCCCCCGTAAAAATACTGAAACCTCACTGAACATTGGTCGAGAAAGACCTCACCGGTGACCGACTGTGGGCAATCCTCCTTCACCACCTCCACCGCCGCGTTCACGCACTGCCCGCAGTCGCACGGCCCCAGATCGGTGTCGCACTCCGCCTCCACCATGAACGGCCCGTACTCCGTCTGGTACCTCCCTCCCTGTCCCTCTCTCCCCTGCACCACGCCCTCCTCGAGCGCTTCGAACGCCGCATCTCTCTTCTCCTCGAACCCTTCGATCCCCTCCACTTCGCCCGACACCTCGCAGTTCTTGTGATCGATCCCATACTTGGATACACCGCCACCACCACGTGGCAAGATCTCGGCCTTCCGGATAGAGAACTGGTCGGTCTCGTACAGGAGGTAACACCCGGAGAGCCGAATCTTACCCGCAATTGACTTGCTGCAGAGAGTATGTGATATCTCGGGGATTCGAGCGATGCACTCGTGGCACTGGTAGTCGGTGAGAGCGGCATTGCACAGGAACCGGCCGGAGACGCCGGAGAGAGAGTCGCCAACAGTGGCCTTGTAGAACTTGGATCGGGAGGAGTGAGAGACTAGTTCATCGAATAGGTTTGAGAGCGTTTGGGAATGAGGTGATTCATCTGAGTCGGTGAATGTGTCGCTAGAGCAGTTGTTGTACACAAACGCGGTGTAGTTCGCGCTTGGCTTAAGTAGACCGTTGGTGCAAGGTATGATAAACCCGAGAACAACAGAGAAAACCAGCAGAGAGAATGGAGAGAACGTTCCCATTAGATCAAGATTTGAACCAGTTCTCGTGGTGACGATGGACACAATTCAAGATGGCGAGGAAGAGAAGTGAGCAAATGAACCAATCAAAACTTCTTTAAATGTAATAATAGAATAGTATGGATTGGTGAATGTCATGTGGTTTTATTAGAAGTTGGTGGATTGGAATATTGTTTTCTTGCCAACCCTCATCTAACCATCACTACTTTATGCTGGTTCCTCCATTTGGATTAGCAAAGACCGCAGGAACGAACACAGGTACAAGCCGTCAAATGAAGTCGGCAAGCATGGCTCGTGCCGTCATGATTTGTTCAAGAAATTTTAATGGAGTGGTTGATCAATACACACCAGTTTTGCTAATTGGATCGTGCTTAAGTGGAAGTTACTGCAGTTTTCCCCAAGTTTTCGTGTGCAACACAACAAGCATCTCGTGGGGATATATTCCACTTCCACTATGGATTAGGATCGATGGGCTGGTGGTATAGATTGATAATTTCTAAAGTGCGAGGTTGCCAGCTCGCTTGATTATGATTGCTGGCCATGTATCTTGTTCTAGTAAAATGAGTTCTAGATCTCTCCCTCGTCGGTGGGGCTATGCTAATGAAGCTTGTCTACCCCAAATGAGTGACAATCTCTCTACCATCTTAAATCTGGACATTCAAGGTACAAGACACTTGTGATAAGTTCGAAAGTAAATAGTTAGACCAAGTTTAAGCTGATTAGCGCAGGGAGATCGTATGAATTTAAAGAGCAGTTAGGACCTAATATCAAGCGATGTGAAACAATATTTCAACATCCCATTTCACGTGCAAGCCAGATCATGAGCGGCACGAGGCATTTTGACCACAGCACTAATGGGGGTGGATGCACATTTGTGAAAGAGATAACACCGGCTCTGATTCCATGTTGATATTTAGGGTCAAAGAAAAAATAATGACAAAGTGTTCATGGTGAAGTATGTTCCCAACTAAGAAAAAAGATCAATAGCATGTGAGAAGGTGAGAACACTATTCCGCGTTACGAGATGAATCACATACGGTCGTTGAAATTCGAGCGGTATGTTATATTCAACTTTCCTCTGACGTGTAACTTGATATTGACTCGAGACTGCGGCATAAGAATTCATTGTAAATGGAGGGACAAAAATAAAATGTTCAAAAAGAGTCGTACTCAAGACATTTCGTTACAATACGAAAGATGGATTTTCAAGGACAATAAACTTGAGTTAGCAAATAGATGAACACATGATTTGGTCTTTAAGTTTAATGTGACAGAGGTTATGAAGGACATGTATGGCCCATCCAACTGATTAAAAAAATATGGAACAAACCCTACTATCAAACACCAGCCTTATAGCAAACAACATGGCACGCATCCATCGATTTGGTGCTAGTCCATCGAGTGACCTGCTTTTCCTACCCAATTTGCATGTCTTGGGTTGTTCTTTTGTGTCTGTCTTCTTCACCTGCATGAACTCCATCGATGATAGACTTATAAAACAGCCCAAGTTGCTAGTCGCTGAGGCAGGAAGGCTAGAGAAATAAGGCAAAAGTGATCACATCCCTGTGCATTTTCTGGTCTCATTTGGCTTACCCGATTCAATTGCTTACAAGGGAGAGGGGGGCTTTCCAATTGACATTGAGCATTTTGGAAAGAGCCCATTATTTTAAATGAACAGGCCTAGCAGCTTATGAAAGAAACTGGGCCTTCCCTTCATGTTAGACCTCAGCACCCAGAAATTGGAGTGGGGACAAATGTGAAGATGACTGCAAAATTCATCATGAAAACTTTAAAAGAAAATACTTATTCTTTTTTTTTTTAAAAGGGATATTTGTCGATTAGAAAATCATTGAAAGGAAGAAGGGAATCGTGACCAAACTTTCCTGCCGTCCAAATCGTGGCTCGTGCTCAAAAGCTCAAATTGATTTGGCGATATGTCTTCCTCTCCCTCTTCTTCGTTGTCGTGAAGTGGGGGACCCCTTTGAAAGTCAGTTTGGGCGGGCCTCCAACTTTATTTTTAGGCCAACCCCACAAGTAATGTCTCCTCCTTTTTTTTATCTTTTCCAGAGACTTTTTATTCGTGTAATCATTTATTTTTTTGCTAGAGCTCTATCCCACTCGTGTTTTCCCCCTCTTTTAATAGTAGAGTCAAAGTTTTCGTGCTCGTTCGTGCTTTTAGTCGAACCTTCTATTCCGTGCGACCGACATCCGTTTCGTCTTGCTACCTAATTCGGACTCGTGCATGCATCGGAAAGAGCGCGTCGGAGTTATGTCGCGACGCGGCTTAGGAAGCACGGGCACTCTCCGGGGGCTTCCGTGTCGTGTCGGACACGTGCCGGACGTGTCGGATACCGACACTCGTCCGACACTCTTTTTTTGTTATTTATTTATTTGTGGATTAGAATCAAATTAATTTGATTGCAATAATCATAGAAATGATCATTTATCATGTATATATAAAAATATAAATTTAATATACAACGTGACTCAATGTGTCGAAATTCTCATTTTTTGAGAAATGATGTGTCGGCATGTCGTGTCGTGTCGTGTCACGTGTCACGTGTCAGTGTCGGTGCTACTTAAGCGACGCTTATAAATGAAATTTACCCCGACGGACGGTCGGTATATCCAGGTCTGAAGCTCCTCCAATTGGATCTGACCAAAAAACATTGGTGTGGGATGTTTTCACCCGTTTATTTTGTTTTTTAGCTTTAGGAAAGAGCATCACAAACGTGCAAGATGTGGACTAAGGACATCCTCCTTGCATGATAGTGAACAAGGAGCTCCTTGTGGACCCAAGTATTGGTAAAAAGGTAAAAATCTAGGAAATCCACATTTCACAGGAACAGGACAATATAAAGGTCCCCATCCTAACCAGAAATTCAAAGAGAGCATCGTTCACAAAATTTTATTTATTTATTTTTATTTTATTTTGAATATAATTTTGATTTTTTTTTCATGGAGCCAGTCTCTCTCTTTTCTTCAACAATTTATGGAGCCTGACCCACCATTATTTTCTTGTTTCCCCATTGCTGAAGCTGTTGGATAATGAAATGAATCTTGAAGATTTGGCCATTATTCATGATGTAAATTTCACAGCCTTACCTTTTTGAATTGAGCGAATCTCAGCTACAACTCCTTCCAATTTATTGAAACTAAAGAGGGTGATGGCGAACTAACCAAAACCCATTCTCTCAATTAATTTAGTGATTAGGAGTTTATAATACTGACAAGTCGAGGCTACTTGCAATTTCCTTTTATTTTGTTTCCCTTTCAATTAATTCCCGACGGTGGAATTTGGACTTCACCGGCTATAATAACTCATAAAAATATACCGGTTGCTACAAAAAAAAATATATGCTTGTATTTTAATTTTTTCAAAATTTCCTAAATAAGTTCGTATATATTGAAAAAGTTTGAAAACGCAAATCTTTTTTAGGCTGGTCCATATACATAGACAAGTTTAACTTCATCTTATATATCTATTAAAATTTAAATTTAAGGTTGGTCAATGCAATTGTTTGAGCTAGCTGCAAGCCGCCAATGAGTGATCCTTGCGTACCTAACTTTCCAACCCAAAAAGAAAAAAGAAAGGTCAAATTCAGCATATATCAACCACATATGTTTAGCCAAATGGTCAATTCAGTAAGTCTTTATCATCACACTGCAATCATGTACTAAAGCTCTCTTTGTTTTTGTGAAAATGAATAATTTTTAAAAAAAATATCACCGATATTGCTCGAAACTAATAGCTAATGAATAATGTTTTCGTTATCGACAATGATTCATATTTAAATAATTTCGTAGATGACGAAAATATTTTTCGTTCGTTCATATTTGAAAATAATTCAAGTGATTAACTTTTAAAAAATATTTTTCAGATCATTCGTTTTCGTGAAACAAACTGAATGATTTTGCACATATTAAATAATTGGCGTGACGTGCAATCGGAAATCATAATTAGGCACAACAACTAGATGGGCCTCCTCCTCTTTTGATGATTAATTAATTAAAACGTTAATTAACTCCATATGGGGCGGTCTAATTTATGGGGTGCTCATCTCCATTGTTATCTTCAAAAAGACATTCCCCCAATTAAAATATCTGATCCTAGGAACAGGCCGATCGTTAGATAATGGGACACTTGCATGATTGTTCAGACGCATGATTGCTTCCTAATAATCTCTCTTAATAACCGACAAAAGAAGTCGTGATTTGACCACCCATTTTGTCTCTTTTTCTAGTCTTTCTCCCATGATGATTTGCATAATATATATAGAGTTAATACCCTAAAAAATCTAAAAAATTTATCCCAAACTAACCGGTAGACTTGTGACAAATTTACCCTCTGTTAGTTAAATTGAATTAATACCACGAAAAATCATAAATTTGTACATCTGTGACAAACAGATGGTAAAACCCCAAATCGATACACTCGTCAACTACCACGTATTATTCAACTCAGCAATTTAACAAAAATTTAATGGAAATTAACGGAGAGCAAATTGTCACAAATGTACCAGTTTAGGGCTTGTCATAGTTGTACTATTTTATAATTTTTCATGATATTAACTCATATATATACATAATATTTTTTTTCATGACATAAATCCAGTGGATATTTCCAAACTGTCATTTAAATGAAGCACTGACGTCTCATCTGTAAATTAGGTGACCTTGAAAATGATTGGATGATAAAATAAAACAAAAAAAAATTGAATTTTAGGAGAATATGCTACTTAAATAAGAACCTGATGCTTATTGATTCCTTCACAAGAATTACTATGCTTTTGGGGAAGCACGGCTTCTTTTGTTTTCTTTTTCTTTTATTTCTTCTTGAGAAAATAAAAAAAGACAAAAATAAAAAGAAGAAGAAGCACCCATCCCCAGTAACACCTTCCCCAAGATCAAAAGAAATGCACAATAGGATTAAAACATTTTATAGTAATCTCTATACTATATACAATAATCTCTACATTATATATATATAGAGAGAGTATCATTAGGATGGTGCATGTACATGCTTGAGTATGCCTTGACAAAGAGATAAGGTACGAGATTAGGGCCGAAAGTTGACCTAACATGAATCGCCCAACATAAATTACACGGGCGGCGATTTCTGACACGACACGAGAACACGACTCAACTATAGCATGAACTCAATGAGAGAAATCCGAACTTGACATGACACGATATGACTTAGCTCGGCATCATCAAGAACCGGCACCTTCTCATCCATTCTTAATGAAAATCACACCGGATCATTTTTGCAATGGCACGTACCGAGCGGGATCACTTCGAATTTAACTCATCTTTCTAATTTCAAAACACGAATCGCGGAGGAGGGTGAAGTAAAGAGATAAGTCTCCACCTACAAATTCAACTTCTCGTTGGACGTGAGATCGAGAAATTTCGTAAAAACCAATTCGAATACAATACTTATGAACAGGCCTCGAAAAAAATTTCGAGCGGACACGCTCTCCGCGCACCCAAATAGAATAATACAATTTCCAAAGAGATAAAAGTGACTTTTTGGGGGGTCGAATTTATAATAATTTTTTTTTACTTCGAAGTACTCCGGATGCAGCTCCTTTTTCTCACGTCACATCGAAATTTACCCTGTCCTTACATAGAGATAAAAAAATTAAATTCGACTTTTAAATGTTATTTAAAGGCTGGGATTTTGAAGTAAAATAATAAAATTAAATAGAGATAAAAAAAATAAATAAAATAACGAATTATTAGGGTTGCGCTCCCCTGCTCACATCAAAAAGTCGTTGAGCTGTTGAAAGCTTGAAGCCCAAAAAGAAGAATAATCACTACTAAACCCAAAAAAAAAATAAAAAAAATTAGAAATATTATGAATCACATAAAAAAATTAATAAATTGTGTATAATAAATTATTTATACATTTCAATAATTTTGGGAGCTCTGCTTCTCTCGTCTCGTCTCCTTCAACCTTTTTACTCAAACCCAAAGCAAAGCAACCTGTCTCTCTCTCTCTCTCTCTCTCTCTCTATCTCTGTGTTGGACTTCGAAGAAAAGCATGGCGATTTCTTGAGAATTCGTCTCGGTCCTCTCGTGGGTATCTGCTCCGGCTTCGTGGGTTCCCCGCGTATCGGCTCCCTCTGTCCGGAGAAGCAGGCGTGTATGATCTCGGTCCTCCCTGATCAGTTCGCCTGAGAGTCTCTGGGGGTGATGCTGAGCTTCGGCTTCGAAGCTTCAGAAACGCCGGGGCTCTCTTCTATCTCTTTTCTGGGGAATTCACCGTGCGTGCTGCTTCTTGTTGCTGGAGCTGTGACGAGCGGGGGTGCGAAGAGAGGGACGGAGCTGACGGGTCTTCCGGGTCGATTCGGCGGCTGATCATTTTGGGAGTCCCGGAATTTCTTTTTTGTGAGGTTGATCGAGCGATCGAAGGAAATGTTTGGTTGCGAGTGTACTTGCTGGGAGGATATCTCTGAATTCTGTCCTCTGGAGCCGGAGCCCTTCTCTCTGCCGTCGCCTATGCCCAAGTGGCCTCGAGGTGCGCTTTTTTCGCTTCTTCCTCCTTAAATTTTTCTCGGGAAATGAAGAAAGGTTCCATCTTTCTGGGAGCAAAATGCGTCTTGGGTTCTGGGTGTTGTTCGTTCTGTTCATGCTATTGATGGGTTCGTGTCCATGCTTTTGATGGGGTTTAGCATCTTGGTGATTGATGTAGAAGTTTGGTTTCGGTTAGCTCCGGAGTTCTCTTCGCCCTTTATTTTATTCATTTAATTTTAGTATTTCTTTTTGGGCAATGCCATTGAGGTTTTCAGTCATCTGCTCTGTGTTGGATATTGGAATATTCGCCGGATGTTCTCTCTCTCTCTCTCTCCCCTCTCTCTCCTCCCTCTGACACACGACCAATCACACACGTGTGTTATAGATGTATGTGTATCCTGGTGAGGGAGGTGTGTGTGCTAGATCTCAGAGTTCCGCTGGAAATTAGGAGGAAATTTGACTATCAAGTTGATCACTGGATTGGATGTGAATTGGGTTTAGTTGCTGAATTCTCTTTCCATTTTAATCTGATAGTCCCTGCTAGTCATCCCGTGATAAAAATTCGCGTGCTGTGAGTCAAATTCACTGCTTTTCATTTGTTACTTGCCGCTATCGAAAGCTAGCAAACTGATGGATCTTGGAAGGAACCGTCCGTTTTCGATCAAAACTATTGCTAAATGCCCTTACTTCATTTTCATGCTCCAAGTTCTGTTCTTGCCCCCCAGCGGGACTACGAGTATTGAAGCAAGGAGGTTGAGAAATTTTTCGTGCCCATTATAATCTATTGCAACTTGTAATCTAATTGAAGGCTTCCCAGAGAACATGTTGGACTTATGTCCTTTTCCGAAAAGTTTGCGGTTCTACTTCATATTCTATTTACCTCTTCAAATTGATTGCCATCTTTGTAGGCAAGGCTTTCAGTTCCGGAACAATACGACTAGGTGATATTGAAGTACTTAAAATTACGGAGTTTGAGAGAGTCTGGAGCTGCAGTCTGTTGCGTGCGAAGGTACATGGAGTCACGTTTTATAGACCTGTAGGGATACCAGACGGATTTCATTGTCTGGGTTACTACTGCCAGCCAAATGACAAGCCATTGAGAGGCTATATCCTTGTGGCTCGTGAAACCGTCGACCACGGCAGTTGTTCTGATCATAGCCATGTCACTGCTCTACGCTCCCCAGCCATGAAGAAGCCTCTCAACTACAAACTAGTATGGAAAGCCGACTCAGATCAAAATGGTTCTGGATACTTTTGGCTACCAATTGCACCCGTGGGTTATAGAGCCATGGGCATCCTTGTTACTGACAGTCCGGATGAGCCTGATGTTGATGAAGTCAGATGCGTACGAGAAGATCTCACCGAGGATTGTGAGCCCTGCGACCTGCTGTTTAGCGTGCAACCAAAGAATGCTCGATACCCATTTCGTATATGGACCACGCGGCCCTGCAAGCGGGGAATGTGGGGAACTGGTGTTTCTGTTGGTGCATTCTTCTGTGACTCATTCTTCGGTATGGAGGAACAGCTAGATATAGCCTGCTTGAAGAATGTCGATCACACATTGCATGCGATGCCAAATTTAGACCAGATACATGCACTAATAAGGCATTACGGGCCCACTGTTTTCTTCCATCCTGATGAGGTTTATATGCCGTCTTCTGTACAATGGTTTTTCAAGAACGGAGCACTCTTGTATGAATATGGACAAGATCGAGGCGAACCAATCAAGTACGATGGTTCGAATTTGCCTTGTGAAGGGTGTAATGATGGGGAATTCTGGATAGATTTGCCAGATGATGATGAGGCAAGAAATCGTGTCAAGGACGGTGACCTGGAGAGCGCGGAGCTCTATGTACATGTTAAACCAGCACTTGGAGGTACATTTACCGATATCGTGATGTGGGTCTTCTGCCCTTTCAATGGACCTGCAACCCTGAAAATAGGCTTAATGACTGTTCCAATGACCAGGATAGGGCAGCATGTGGGCGACTGGGAGCATTTCACTCTCCGTGTGAGCAACTTTACTGGAGAATTGTGGAGTGCATATTTCTCCCAGCACAGTGGTGGTGGATGGATCAATGCGTCTGACTTGGAGTACATTGAGGGGAATAGGCCAATGGTTTTCTCTTCTAAATGTGGTCATGCGAGTTTCCCGCACCCTGGGACCTATCTCCAAGGATCATCCAAACTGGGAATAGGAGTGAGAAACGATTGCGCTCGAAGCAAGTTCTATGTAGATTCCAGCGAGAAGTATCAGATTATTTCAGCAGAGTATCTTGGTGATGGTGTAGTAACCGAACCTTGTTGGCTACAATACATGAGGGAGTGGGGTCCGACCATCAAATACGACTCAAGATCCGAAGTCGATAAGATAATAAATCTGCTCCCTTTCTTTGTGAGGTTCTCTGTGGAGAACCTCATCGACTTGTTTCCGACGGAGCTTTATGGCGAGGAAGGGCCAACGGGACCCAAAGAGAAGGATAACTGGGTTGGAGATGAGAGGGACTAGCTTGATATTCATTAAATTGTTTTGTCATGCACAAGAGGAAGTGGTTCCGGCATGGCCAGCTCTGAAGAACTAGCTTGCTAGATCATGCTCACGGATCAGAGCAGCTGAGTTAAGAAAGCAAGTTTGTGTACCTATGTGAAGGAATCATTTTCCACTCTTTCGAAGGAGTGCCACCCACTTACAGATGCTCCTCAGTCGTGATGCAACTGCATTCATACATGAGAGGGGTAGAGACAGTGTGTGTTGTTATTTGAAAGTAGGGTATGTGCCCGCTTTGATGTAGAGATTTCAATCATCAAATGAAAATCAATTCCCCAGTTTCTCTGATAAAGCTCCCTCAGGTCTAGTAAGAGAGTTGTAGAAATATTACTTTTCTTTCGGTGCCATTAACCATCATATACTGATATGGGAAGTTAGAATTTGCATCCACATGAAAAAAATTGATTTCAATTATGGCCCTTTGCCTGCTCTTTTCCCGCCGATCGACAACTTTGGAGTTGTGACCTGTGTCTTCTTCAAGTAACTGAACCTCTAAAGTAGTACGTATTTCAACCAAATCGTCACAGACGAGACTGTCATTGAGCTCTTGCTAGTATAATCGCGCAGGATCCGAATGGCGTCACTTGCCAAAAATCCTGTGTAACGATCAAACGACAGGCAAGCAATAGACATCGGGTAATAGTGAGTTTGACATTGCTCGTACTCAAACAATGTAGCCCACATAAAAAGAATGTCTACATTTTGAAGAACCATACTGATCAAAAATTTCCAATCGCGTCATCTTCTGTTTATCACACAGAATCCATCGAGATGGATGATCCACCTACCCTTTATAAAAGGCCTACTCCCGCACCGTATAGAGATCTAGAGTGAGTCAATTTACAAATTAGCCATCTTCTCTAGTTTCCGACAACCAAAAAAAAAAAATTCCTGCATATTTGGCAGGAAGTTGGCAGCTGATATCAACAACTACTCCTGCAACTTTGCCGAAACCGACAGCTACTGAAATTTAAATTCTGGCAAAGATTTTGACAACTCAAGATGATGCCATCATCTGGCCTGTTTACAATCCCTGTCCAACGCTTCCCTGCTTATTTCCTGTGCACACTCTCCACATACGGTGCTACAGCCAATTTTTGTGCCCTGACTTCTAAGGGTCAGCAAATGTGAAAGATTAGTGCATTTTCGCTGCACAATGTGACTCCTTAAACTACCTTTGTTTCGTGATAAGGCAGTGGTCTCGCTGGTAGATGACGGCACACGAGCTGCGACCGGCTTATCAGTTGCGAAAACATCCCCAACGGGAACGCGTTGCACTTCCTCCCATTCCAATGTTTTCCGATATACCTCCCAAGCCCTATCTTGCTCCTCCTTGGTAAGTTTCTCCTCTTCGTTCTCTTGCAAAAGGGTCTCATGTTCGTGGTAATTGGTAATCCACCTAAGAGAAGGTGATTCATCTAAATTAGACCTACTCTGTCATCTATCATAAACCTGAATGATTACCAAATCCGTAAAGAACTCAGGAAACAGGCATCCATCAAAGTTCTCGGTAAAATTATAGTCTACCTCGAGTGATACTTGCCAAGTAAACTATCCATTATTTTGTCGGAGGAGCAGCTTCCACAGGAAGAAGACTTCTGCTTCAGGGAATCTCCAACTGGGTAGGCCAGACCCAGCTTGCTAGCATCGCCGGCTTGTTGACGCAGCTCGGTCGACATGTCTGGGTTATCGTCATCGCCGAATTCGAATAGATGTAACATCTCTTCTTTGGATATAGTCCTATGCACTTGCTGCCTATCCACCACCCTTGCAGCTAGGCCCTCCTTTGTTACCTTCATGCAGCATTCAGATCAATCAATTTCCACAGAGAAAACCAGAGAGAGTACAAACAAATCTGCTCTTCCTCTACCTGACGCTTGTAGATCTTTTCTTCCATGGTACCTTGTGCCATCAATCGATAGGCAAAAACAGGCTTTGTTTGGCCATATCTGCAGGGACGAATTAATAAATGAGTAAAAGATAAATGATTAAAGAATGCAGCGATAAAACAAGAATATGCACCTCCAAGCTCGATATATTGCCTGAAGATCGTATGTGGGATTCCATGAACCATCAACAATAACAACGCGGTTAGCAGCATGCAGATTAATCCCAAGAGATCCTGCTCTTGTTGAAATCAGAGTGCATTTCACCCTTCTATTCTGGGGTTCATTGAACCTCTCCACCAACTTTTGCCTTTCAGAGCTCTCTGTTCTTCCGTCAAGCCTGTTGGAAAAGTAAAACCAGTGCTCTCAGCTGTCATATTGAATAAATCCCATGCAAATGTTGAGACGTTATTTTGCTATCCTTTCCAGAATTAAATCAGAGAATTTAATCCAAGCAAAACTCTAGCAATTCCATTCCAACAACTGTCATCCCACTTAATGTATCTGACTAACGAATAAAGAAAGGATACCAAATATGAGCTATGCTGATGAACTAGGGGTGGAGGGAGCGAGCAAGGAAAGGAGGAAATGCCAGATTGGCCAAAATTACTGGCATTTTTGTCTCCCCACAGAACTTGAGGTTTGGTTGGAGTAGTAACACAATGACCACTTATAATTTTTCTCTCAAAGAGTAGCCAGTATTCCAATTCATGCTTTAGACTGTTTTATACACTTTAACATCCTCCAAAAGACCATATTTCATAGCTCTGCTGCCTCTGTTGGTAACATGATTTTGCAGGTGTGTGATACTGAAGGCGACTCAAAATAATAAAAAAAAAAAAATTGACCACCAATTGTACTATAAAGACAATGGAACTTCCTTGAAATTAAAACACAAATATACAACTGGCCAAATTCCTCGGGTTCAATGATTGAGTAAAAAGTTCATTCCCACAAACACTCTATATTATTGAATGAACCATGAGATACCCACCACAACATTAACTATTGCCAGCTAATGGACCCCCGCATACCATTTTATACAATCAAAAAAAGAGTACCAACCTGTACCAATCTTTTCCCTTCTTCCAGAACTTGCCACGTTTATCCTGTCTAGGTAACTTTGAAAGATAGAATTCAATAAGATCAAGAGTAGGAATACTCTGGCTAAAAACCAATGCCTTATCACCAACATCTGAGCTCATAATTAAAATGTCGAGCAGCAGAACCATTTTGCCACTATAACCAAGCTCTTTAAAATCATTTTCTCGAAGAAGATCATTCCACCAGTCCTGCAAAGATATAATAACAATAAGACATGCAAAGAAACATCAGACAAATTAGTAATTTATTAGTAAAAGCTGAACATATGAAAAAGAGCCACTAACGTCATTGATTTTTCACAATACAGAGAATGGTACAAATAGGCTTAGAAGTGAAACCCAATGGAAAACGACTAACATAAAAGCTCTTACACAGCCTCTAAAAATAGGCACACCAATGGCTTTCAGAACTAAGAGACAAAGATGTGCCGTCTATAATGAGTCATCGATACCATCTGTTGAACTATACCTTGCTTAGAAAGCCATTCTGAATTTTTCCCCTGAGTAAATCATCTCCACTGCTTGCTTTCACTATAATTGGCAGAAGTAATCAGTAATCAATTAGGGAAACAGTGAACTGTCTCCTCTTCTTAATCTTAAAGAAGAACAAAAATCATTACTAGAATTGAGAAATTCCATTTCAACACAATTTCCAACAAAACGGCAAATGCAAATTACACACAAATATCGCCCAAAGCAACTGTTTCCAAAAACAGGATAGGGAGGCAGTACGGAAGGGCAACAAGTTAAACTGTCGTCATGGCTGGGCTTCAGATATAGAGGATTACAAAAACAAAACCTTTGATTTGATCCTGCTCTCATATTTTTCATCAGTAAAATATAAAGGGCTAGAAGTACATTTGGTGGAGTACTCATGGATTATGTGACAGACTAACTATCCAGCTCAATCTGATGCTATGATAAACAAGGAAACTACATGATCCTCATCCAGTGTCCTCAAATTAATGACCTCGTTTATATTATGAAACATGGCTATCAAATACACCACATACTGTCACTCGAAGAGGTAAAACAGAAAGCGTCTACCTCCATTGGCTATGTTGTATTCTATATTTTCATCACTAGAACTGTCATCTCCAAAATTCTCCATAGTCTCTTCATGTCTCACATGTTCACGGTCTTCTTTCTTCAGTTGCAATATACCTGGATGGTTCCATATCTACTACAGAGAGTAAGCATACAAAACAAAACATAGAGTGGAATGCGTCAAAAGTAGTGAAACAGCACAGAGACAGAGAGAGAGAGAGAACAAAAAAGTCGTAAGGCAGTGAAAAAAGGAGGTCAAAAATGTTCTTACTGTCCAATCTACATTTACATAAAACATGAAATTCAGGGGGATTTTCTATGAGTTTCAGAGGTGATGTAACATTGGTGCAAGGGAGAGGTAGCTCAATTTAGACCTAGCCACCAAAACAGTCCCAGCAAAATAGAGATGAGATGCAAAATAACCTCTCCTACTCACAAAATAAAAAAGGATTTTGCACCGTGGCAGCCTTTCAATGTTTGTTCTGACTGATGATAAGAAATTTAGCAAAACAACAAAATCCTTAAATGCGGTACCTGAGCCAAGGCCTGATATCCTGCAAAAAAACTTCTCTTTGGCATCTTTTCATCATAGAGCTTACCAGTTGTAAAGCCATGCACATCTAGGAACCTTCTGTATAATTTCCGTTGCAAAGGAGAAAGCTTAACAGCAATGACGAAAACTGTTTTAGGTGGCAAATCCTTCTTCGCCACATTCATGTCCATTCTCTGGACAAAACCTTTCAATTGTTCGTACAGAATATGAGATCGTTGATTCATTATTTTCACATCCTCGGAGGTCGAATTGGTGTGTTGACCATTCACTATAGGATTTTGGAAGCTGAAATGAACAGGGAGTAATTACTACGCTTTTAGGAGGCACAAGTAGGATATAACAATTATTTATGAGAAAGCCTACCGATTCCTAAACTCATGGCTGCTCCCAAGAAAACCTTCTCTCACAAAATCAACCATCTGTCAAATACAATAACAGTATAAATCTCATCCACTTTTACTGGACATTGCACAAATATATCTACAGCATTTGTGGATTTCGTGCAACTCACACAATAATATTCCATTAGATTGTTCTGCAGGGGTGACCCCGTCAAAGCAATCCGTCTCTGGCATTTAACTTGTTTTAAGGCTTGGGTTGTATCAGCTTGAGTATTCTTAATGATATGGGCTTCATCACAAACAAGTATATCAGGTCCATCCTGAAAATTAAACGAAGAAATGATCGTATCAGTATAAACCCA